AAAAAAAAAAAAAAAAAGTAATTGTGTTTCCTAAAGCGAGATTGGATAGCCTGCAAATTGGATAGACAAACGTATCCCATTATAACTTGAATTTCTTTATTCAGTAATGAATTAATTATTTTTCTTGGTTTGAATTTCCTCTGTAAATGATTTATTTACCTTTTGCCATTTTTGTGTAAGTTAAATAGATAGTATGTCATTTTCATAGATGATATGATGAATGTATCCATCCTTTATCGGGATAGATTGATATAGGCCATTTTGAAACAAACTAAATGTTTCCTTAGACGCTAGAAGAATGTAAAGAATGTTATAAGAAAAATGTGGTAGTAGGAAAATTGCTAGAGCTTTAATTTTTGAGAGCAGGTAAGGACTGTTGTGAATTAATCATTTTTTCATTAAATAATAGATCTGAATGGGACATACTTTTGAAGGATGTGCAATGTTCAATCATAAGTGTGACAAAAACTGACAAGCAGGAAGCTTATGTACTCAGGTAAGTTCTGTAGAACTAGTGTTAGCCAATTTCATTTCCTAATCATATGAACTTGTTCCTCTTTTAGTTCTATAGTCAATTTTACCTTATTTTTAAGATTGTGGTATAAAAGAAAATGATTATATAAATATGAGTGTTAGTTACTAGGTGGTAGATTTTCAAGCCTTAACCTAATACCTCTTTAGAGTGGTTGCCATATTTTTAGTTGCAGAGATGAATTTATTCAATGAATACTTTGAATACTTAAAGTATATATTATGAAGGCTGCATTGGTGCCATTGGATTGAATAAGTACATAAGGCCCCTACATTTTATTAAGTTTGTGTTTGGCATATACGGATGTTTCTCAGTGCTTAATTTTTGTGCCAAGCCCCAGGGAGATACAGTGGTAAGTAAAAACAAACATGCCTTTCCTCAAGAAGCTTATTATCTAGTGAAAGAAATGACATGGTACAAGATGAAGTGAATTTAGTACTATTAATGTTAGGCATATGCCAGTAACACCTTGTTAGGCTATTGTATATAGATAGCCTTCTGAAAGTTGTAACATTTATATACAAAGTACTCACTCTGAATTCAATCCTAGGTCTTAAAAATAAAGTACCAGCCAAAAATTTTAAATGATTCATAATAGGTTAATTGCATCCTCAGTAGTACATAGTCATCATTATAATCTAACTTTCAATTGCAGTGAGAGTAGCATGTTTGTCTCCAAGAGACGTTTCATTTTGAAGACATGTGGTACCACCCTCTTGCTGAAAGCACTGGTTCCCCTGTTGAAGCTTGCTAGGGATTACAGTGGGTTTGACTCAATTCAAGTAAGTATTCAAAAAACGTTCTCTAAACCTTTTGAGGGGAGCATAAATGTGTTAAGAGTTTTTAATCCTGTTATGATCCTAGTAAATAAACTTTATACTTACCACCTTGGTTATAATGCATTCACAGCAAGTGGTAAGCCATATCATAGGGGAAAGAACTGAAATATTGAGGTTGTTGGCTCAAGAAGAGAAAATATGCAGGAAGCAGAGAATGAGTTGGCATAATACAAATTAGGGAAAGAAATGAAGAAGCCAGACACTTGGAATAGTTAACTTCTTGACATGGATATTTATAATAGACAAATGGTAAGAAAAGAAGAAGCCTGAAAAATTTCATTGCTGAAATTATCCAGATAATTTTTGCATACAAGTGTGAGCCGCCAAACCCGGCCTTATTTCTGATTATTTTTAGTAACTAAGATGTTTTTACGTAGGGTACAATTTTCTGAGCAGTTGTTGATTTTTAATATTTCACTTTGTAAAGAAAGGCTGTATTGGCCAGGCAAGATGGCTCATGCCTGTAATCCTAGCATTCTGGGTGGCTGAGACAGGCATATTCCCTGAACTCATGAGTTGGAGACAAGTCTGAGCCAGAGTTAGACCTCATCTCTAAAAATAGCCTGGCATTGTGGCATACACCTGTAGTCTCAGCTACTTGGGAGGCTGAGGTGAAAGAATTGCTTAAGCCCAAGATTTTTTTTCTTTTTTGGCCCAGGGCTGGGCTTGAACCCACCACCTCCAGCATATGGGGCCAGAGCCCTACTCCTTTGAGCCACAGGCACTGCCGTAAGCCCAAGATTTTGAGGTTGCTGTGAGCTATAATGCCATAGCACGCTAACTGAAGCAAAGTAACTATGACAAAGTAAGACTCGGTCTCAAGAAAGAGAAAAAGATGTATTGGCATTAGGACCTAAGATAGCTTTTACTGATTCTTTTTTTTTTTTTTTTTTTGGAGACAGAGTCTTACTTTGTCACCCTCAGTAGAGTGCTGTGGCATCACAGCTCACAGCAACCTCCAGCTCTTGGGCTTAGGCAATTCTCTTGCCTCAGCCTCCTGAGTATGAGTAGCTGGGACTACAGGTGCTCACCACAGTGCCCGGCTATTTTTTGTTGCAGTTTGGCCGGGGCTGAGTTTGAACCTGCCACCTTCAGTGTGTGGGGCCGGTACCCTACTCACTGACCCACAGGTGCTGCCCTGTCTGTTGATTCTTATAAGAAATCTACACATAAGCTCAGTGCCTGTAGCTCAAGAGCTAGAGCATCCGTCACATACACCAGAGCTGGCAGGTTTGATTGAATATAGCCTGGGCCTGGTGAACAACAATGATAACTACAACAACCAAAGCTGGGCATGTGGCAGGTACCTGTAGTCCCAGCTCCTTGGGAGGCTGAGGCAAGAGAATCACTTAAGTCCAAGGGTTTGAAGTTTCTGTGAGCTGTGACACCATGGCACTCTACCCAGGGTAGAAAAAAAGAAAAAGAAATCTGCACATAAAACTGTGTGCTTAACTTGGATCACTGACTTGAAAGCAAATATATATTCTCTGATACATATTTTTTGAGATAGTCTCAAAAAAAAAAGTCACATAAAACTGTTTAACTTGGATCGCTGACTTGAAAGTAAATATATATTCTTGTAAAGTAAATACATATTTATTGTATTTATTTACTGGAAAGTAAATACATATTTACTTCTTGAAAGTAAATACATATTTTTTGAGACAGTCTCAAAAAAAAAAGTCACATAAAACTGTTCAACTTGAATCACTGACTTGAAAGTAAATATATATTCTGTAACAAAATTTTTGCTTGAAGTGACTTTAAAAGCTCACATTAGAAATGAACTTTGTCTTTCTAGCTATTATGAGCCATCATCAGGAGACTGGGCAGTTTATTCTCTTTCACAGTTTTAAAAAATGCAATATTATAAATGTATTGTACATTAAAACTATACTTGGATCAGCTCAGGTAGCTAATGTGTATACTTGGATGTACAACATTGGGGCTGGGTGTAATGGCTCATGCCCATAATCCTAGCACTTTTAGAAGCATAGGCCAGAGGATCATTTGAGGCCAGGAGTCCAAGAACAGCATGAGCAACATGGCAAGATCCAGTCCAAAAAAAAAAAACAAAAACCAAGAACAACCTGCAAAGTAGCATACAGCTGTAGTCCCAGCAACTCAGGAGATTGAGGCAGGAGGATCACTTTGAGTTTGAGGAATGTGTGTGCAGCATTGGGGGAAATAGAGTTGTGATTATGTTGAGTTGTGATAT